TTAAAGCATGCTCAATTCCGAATTTTTTTTTTTTTTTGCTCAGATTTTTAAAGAAGTCGGTTCTGACGAAGCCCGAAGCAAGCCGCTTCAGACGGAGAGCAGCGACGGCGTCCCGAAAGCGTAGTCGCCGTAGTCGGGGTAAGCGGTCTCGGCTTGGGCGCGCTTCTGCACCAGCGCGGCGACGTCGCCCTGCAGCGTCTCCGGCAGCTGGTCCGGGTAGATCCGCTTGTAGGGCTTCCCGTCGCGGTCGACGAGGAACTTCTCGAAGTTCCAGCGGATGTCGTTGCTGTCGAGGGTGTCGTAGAAGAGGCGCTCCTTCTCGCGGTATCCGCTCACCGCCGACGGGCACACGCTCTGGCGGTAATAATAAAAATAGAAACTTATCGGGACCGACATTTTTCCCGTTCTGATGGCATCTTCTCCATAATGATTCATTCGGATTCATCGGCAGGTTGATTTTCTGTCGAGGGTGAATTTCGAATGCATGATATCCCGTAGGGGCCCAATATTAATTTAGCTGGATTGTTCTCCAATGGAGCCAGCCCAAAGGACCTGCATTTTTCACCGTCTCCATCCACCAATCCACTATAGTTCCCACGCCTATCTCTGCAACTTGATCCTATTTCTACCATATCCTTGTTAAATTTGTATATATTTCATGACAGCGAACGAGACACACGAGCTTGCATAATGGCTTCCTTCCCTTCAGAACTTTTCAAAAGCAGCAATGGATCCCATAGAGAATGGATGGTGGATGGTAGATGGAGGGTGGATGGTAGATGGAGGGTGGATGGAGGGTGGAGGGGACGGTGGATGACGGTGGGCGAAAGGAGGCAGACTCACGGTGAGATATGAGTAGAGGGGGATTCTCCCGCTCCCGTTTACGTCGACCTTGCGGAAGAGGAGGAAGTCCGGCACGAATCCCCCGCCGGGGCGGACGTGCGTCACCCCGTTGATGATCTCCACCCCGTCTCGGCCTGGTTCTTGCTGTCCGAGTGCAATCACGAATGAGTCCACGGTGATGTGCGTGAATCGTTCCCATGAATACATGGTTAAAATGGGAGTGTACCCTATTTGGATGATTCAGTTAGCGCCAGGCTCGGAAGGCATTAGCGTTCCTTCCTGCGCTCGCCGAAATCCCGGTTTAAAGGGGAAAGAAACTTGTGCCGTCCGCGAGAAACATCGGGAGAACGCCTCGAGAGGCCGACCCGCGCTTCGCGGACTCGACCGCCTGCGACGAAAGAGCCAGGGACTCGCGAACGCGCTCGTCGACCGCCAGTCGACGCGCGACTGGCGGTGCCAGTACAAGATAAGTTGGTAGCAGTCGGAAGTTGGTAACTGGTAACTGGTATTTGGTAATTGGTGAACAGATTACCTCGCGTAACTTCGTCACTCGAGGCTCAACATTCCACGAACCTCGATCCTGAACATAGCAGGACTCTCCAGAGCCTTTTCTCGATCCCAGGAAGTTATGGTGGACGACGATGCAAATAAATGATTGATCGAACGAAGCCGCGATATGCCCCAATCCCTCAAAAACCAAGTTCTGAATTATTCCAATCGTCACCGATCGCCCGAATTTCGTCCGTCGTGGAATGAGAGCACTCTAAAAAAAAAAAGAAAATTCGAATGGAAACGAAATCCCTACCATGCCGAAATGATTGCTGGGGAAGCCGAGGATGACGAGTTCGTCGCCAAACTGCGATTTCAGTGCGTTCAGTTGCGGGTAGGACTTGAACGTGAGCCGTCAGTACGTCGCCACGTTCACGATCAGCACCACCTGTCCGAAAAATAAAAGAAAACTACATATATATATATTTTTTTCATATATATTAAATGAGGTTGAAATAATTTGTTTTCTCGATCGATACGAAACGAGTGAAATCCGGTCTCAGGCGCACGCAATGCGACGCGTCACTACGTCACGCCGTTCGCGTTGCGCGTGAGCCGGGATGCGCCCGCACGTCTCAAGGCTTCGAGTAGAGACCTGCTCGGGCGCTCAAACTGCCAGTTGAACGCGGGAGACGAGGAAAGTCGAGCGGTGCAGGTTGTGCAATGAGGTTCTGCATTGGTTTTCAGCCTCGCAGGCGGTGAAAGCTGTCTGACCGAAGCCTTCCTAATTTCAGCCTGTTGTTCAACCGACGTTGAGGGAATTTCTTTTGGGCCCCAGGCCAAACAGCCCAGCATGAAAAGAAGGGAGAAAGTGGAGGGGAAGTGGAGAAAATGGAGGAAGGTGGAGGAAGGTGGGGGTGAAGGAGGAAAAACCCTGCGATATATCAACTACTTAAACGACCTGACAATGCCCATCTTCACATCCCGATCCTACGGAAACTGACCTTCCCGCGGAACTCGGAGAGGCTGACATTCCTGGAGCCGTCGAGGAGTTCCTCCTGGAACTCGTAGATGGTCCTGGGATCGGTTTGGTCGCACAGGGACTCCTGGCCGAGAGTCGCACTCAGCCAGGGGAGCAGGAGGAGCGCACGCAGCGCCCCTGCCCCGAATCCGTTCATTTTTCAACCCTGATGCACCTGGGGAAGAATGCCATGGGTTTCCAATAATTTAAAAGGCATCGAGAATGGTGCAATGGCGAGACAATAGGCCTATAGGATTTCGTGCCGAGAATCAGACCCCCCCAATCACAGATCGGGCGACCTCCCCTCTCTCGAATATTGGGAACCCGGGGAGGACAGAATTCACATCGGTGCACCTGGGCGGTCGATGTCTTCGCGAACGAGTCAGCTCGAGTCGGTCCCGCTTGGCAACTGAAGGACGGAGACCGGAAGGAAAGCGCTTTTCGATGGAGGGAGATGCCTCGAGGGTGTCTCGGAGGTGCCTCGGAGGTGCCTCGGAGGTGCACGTGTCCTCCATCCCTTCAAGGACGGAGAAAGGAGGAGAAAGCTCTCGAAGGAAGTTCCTTCGCATCTCCCTGTTGGTTTTTGCTCCCCTCGGGGCTGCGGCGGGAGATCCTGTGTAGAAACAGACGGGGGGGAATTTTCGCTTCCTTTGACGTCCTACGGGATCGGCAAGCACGGCGACAAGCCTGTTGCATTGTCGCGTTCCTGTCGCACTCTCGTCGCATTCCTGTCGCACTCTCGTCGCATTCCTGTCGCACTCTGTGAAAGGGATCATCCCTGCACGAAAAACTTCGACAAATAGGTCTAATGGGAGGCGCAAGTCGATTTCTGGAGAAAGAGCATATTCATTGCAAATAGAGCGGGAAAATGGCAAATAAAATCTTGAGAAGAGTGAAACGAAAACATAAAACGCTGGCAAGAAATCGATAGCTGACGTTGACTCTATGTAGACTCTATGGAGTCAGCATCAAAAAATGCCAATTAAGTATGAAAAACTGCCCCCCTTGCATATTTCCGAATATCTCTTGCGGTTTCTTTTTTTTTTGGTAAAAGCGAATGCATTATATTTTCAAAACATTGTAACCATTTAATGCATTAAGTACATCACATGTATCAACGTAATAAGACACGAATATAAGGGCATACATTCCCAAGATTCCCATTCTGATTCCAACGCTGGATCAACGAAAGGCGGGGGCGGGGGGGGGGGGGGGGATTGGGGGGGGCATGTCGACCCTGGGGAGGGCACGAAG